GCTATACATTCAGCAAATATATATTAAGCCTATACCATGTGAATAAAATCAGCATGATGCATGCACTTGAAGTTGCAATCTAGTGGGGGTTTATAGACATTCAATAAACAACCTCACAAATAAATATTTAACTAAGAACCATGATAATTTCTAGAAAGGAAAAGAAAAAAAAAGGTGCTCTGTGGGATTTTAATAGAGAGCCTTAATTTTGATTGATAGGCAAGTGAAGGTATCACTGGGAAAATGAACTTTAAGCTAAAAGTGGAAGAATTAACAAGAAAGAGGCAGGCAGCAAGTGACAGTAAGAAGCAGCAACATGTGTAATGGGCCAGAGGCAGGAAAAAAGCCTGGTAAATTCAAAACACTGAAAAATAAAATATTATGTGGTTGAATTATAATAACCAAGAAGCCAAGCAACAGGAGAGAGAAGTGGGAGAGGTGGTAAATTCTGGTGAGGAGTTTATATTGCAGCCTTAGTGCCATACAAGAGCACTGATGCTTTAAGCAGATAAATGTATGATGCAACACAAATGAACTCAGAAATGCCACATTTGAGGGCTGTGCTAAGACTGACTTGGAGAAAGGCTTTTGCAGGAGTGGGGAAAACAAGCTACAAGTAGATCATAATTGTTAAAGAGAATGATGATGTTGGCTTGGGCTAAGGTGGTAATGGCACAGATGAAGAGTAGATCTGATGTATATTTTAGATGCAATTAGGAAGTAATAATGACCTCTCTTAGATAATTTTCAATGCACTGCTTAAGGCAGAATTCTAATTATTGTTTGTTGAATAGTGTATGAGAGGTAAGGAAGTAGAAAGCAAAAGAAGACTGATCTTTGAAAAAACAGGTGGTAGGAAATAGAAAGCAGCAGCTATCAGGGACCTCAGAGTCAATAAATGATTTTTATTTATCCATCTACGCAGCTATCAATTTATTCAGTTTTAGGCAGTGAGTGACTTAAGTGTTTTTTTTTTTTTCCTGAAAAGAAAGTCAAAGTACAGAATGACAAACTGAAGAGGCATAAAATAATAGAAGTATAAAATAAGCAAGAGATAATAATGCCCAGGGGTATCTGGGTGGCTCAGTTGGTTTAGTATCAGACTCTTGGCGTCTGCTCAGGTCACTGAGCTGTCCATCTGGCTCCCTGCTCAGTGGGGAGCCTGCTTGAGATTCTCTCTCTTCCTCTGCCCCTACCCACATGCGAGTGCATATTCTCTTTCATAAATAAATAAAATCTTAGAAAAAGAGAGACATAATAATGCCCCAAACAGAGATAAGTAAATTAGCATGTAGTAGAGCATCTCACACACACGTGCGCGCACACACACACACACACACAATGGAACAGTATAGCAGTTAAAAGCACTCTTTATCTATTAGAAGAAAACAAAAACACTAATTTGAAAAGACATATATGTACCCCTATGTTCATCACAGCATTATTTATAATATCCAGGATATGGAAGCAACCTAAATGTCTATCAATAAATGAATGAAGCTGTGATATGGTGTGTGTGTGTGTGTGTGTGTAATATAGTATTACTCTGAAATCCTATCATTTGCAACAACATGGATGGACCTTGAGTGTATTATACTAAGTGAAATAAGTAAAAAAAAAAGGCAAATCCCATATGATTTTACTTACACATGGATTCTAAAAAAAAAAAAAATGAATGAACAAACAAAACAATGACAGACTCATACATATAGAGAACAAACTGGTAGTTGCCAAATGGGAGGGGAGTGGAGGGATGAATGAAACAGCTGAAGGAGATTAAGAGGTACAATCTTCCAGTTATAAAATACATAAGACACAGGGATGTAATGTACAGCATAGGGAATATAGTCAATAATATTGTAATAACTTTGTATAGTGACAGATGGTAACTAGACTTACTGTGGTGTCCACTTTGTAAAGTATATAAATATCAAGTCACTATCTTGTAACCTAAAACTAATATACTACTGTATGTCAATTATTCTTCAATAAAAATAAAATTTTAAAATAAAAAAAGGAATAAAAACACCATCTATGAAGTCAGACTGCCTGGGTTTGAATTCTGCATCTACTACTTACTTTGAACCTTGGGACAAGGTCCCTAGCCTTCCTTAGACGGGGTTTCCTCATTCATAATACGGAGCTGATAAAAGTGCTAACCTCATAGGGTCGTGAAGAATATGTAAGATGGTGCATGTAAAAATGCTTAACATGGTATCAAATACAGTAACTCTTTAATACATTCTGTTTCTATAAATAATAATACCAACAACAATAATATTAGTCATAATAATAAGGTATCCCTTTTCCTGAGATTTGACAGAGAATAGGTTAATAAAAGGTATGTCTGGAGATAGTCTTGTAGGTAGAAGAGATACTGGAGGTTCTAAAAGCCTAAGTGCTTTCCTTTTTCTCTGGTGAGTAAGAGATTACACTGTTGGTATTAAGTGAAAAGAATGGGGAGGGGAGGGAGAGAAGACTTGAGAAGAGCAGGTAAGAGACAATATAGCTGCTATGGAAAACGAAAGGCTGCTGAAGAGGAACAAGTAAAATAACTGCTGAAATGGCAAAGAGAGTCCCGCTGAGGTAAAAGCTAAAATGTCATAAAGATACCAATTCACTCGGTTCACCAAAGAGAACAGAGAGATAAAAAGCCACAGAGTTAGAGGCACAATGAGTATACTAAGGAGCTCAGGTTTTATTCTATAAATTCCAGGAGACACTGAAGGTTTTCAATATAGAAATCACACGTTGGATATAGATTTTAAGTAGACTACACTAATTGTATTGAGGGGGGAATTAGCAGAAGCGAGACAGCCAGTTTGGAGCCTCTCTCATTACTGCAGATGATTCTACACATTTCTGAAATGTTCTGAAATATAGACTGTTGATAGATTTTGAGGATTAAAAAGTCCTTGAATGTATTCACACTGAAATTAATTTAATTTTAGCACTGACCTAGAGAAATATGTTTTAATATAATTTTTACTTTACAGATCTAAAATATGCTATGTTTAATCTCAGGCTCACACTTGGGTTTAATAATTGCCTTATAATTCAATTCAATAGAATTTATTATCTATTGTATATAAGATATTATTCTAAGCACCCTAATACATTTTCTCTATAAATAATAATGGCAACACAAATAGCAGGTACTTAAAAGACTAGGGCCTATTATTATTTCCAAAATATTTTCCTAGATATGAGATTATCTAAACTTTATTTGGCAAATCCTGATGGATACTACCTTGGGTGATTTACATAGCACAAACTACTTTGTAATGTCCTTGACTTTTTTCCCTACAGACATGTAACTAAGGATGGGGAGAGTTAAATAAGAGGACCAGGTGACTTCATATTCACAGCCCCAGAATTATTTATGGTTATGTGCATAAACAAGAAATCTCTTCCATTTTCTGTTTTGCTTTTAGTTCGGAAGGTATATTGCTTTTTATGTCCCCAAACTTCATTTCCTCACTGTGGCACCAAGGATATTCCTCTTGAAGGATTTGCTTGGCAAACTAATACATCTTCCAAGATAAACTGCATTCAGAAAAAAAAATGACTTCAGAGAAACTGTGTAGTGTACCTACTGTAAAACTCATAACCATCATGACACAGCTGAATTCTCAGATAGTATACAGCCTTGCTTCAATTATGGTATGAATTCAAGCAGCTTAGGTTTCAAATGAGGACTTTGGTCTAGAAAATTTTATTATTTAATATTGCACTAAAACACCACTATTTAATATATAATATCTAGCCAATTCAACTGAATAATTTGCCTAATTCCAAAAAGAAAAAAATATCTTCCTCAGGTACCTTTACATTAGCTCTACCTCATCCCAAATATACATTCCTGATTTTCTTTTCAAGGATTTGACAGAACCTTCCCATATCAGTATATGCATTGCCATATCTGAGTATTAATAAGCTCTGAATATGGGCAAGCAGCTATTGCACATATTCAAAAGGAATGTTCTCTGTCCCATCTATTACATTTCCATTTTAAACAAGATTTTTAAATTGCAATGTACCAAATCAGATAAATTAAAATATATTACTATTGAAAAGGTAATAAAATATTTGAACGAAACACAGTATTTGACTACTAGTTCTGATGTTAATTTTGAGTCTTCGTATTCAGATGTGAAATTCTTAGGGAGCCAGGGTAAAGTTAGCAGCCATAGTACAGCTGCTCATCCATACACTGAACAAACTTGTATTGAATACCTAAGTTAAAAACAGGTTTTTTTTCCTCCAAGAAATTAAATAAATCACCATCCCTTCTTTCCCATTTTTTGTCCATTATTTCAATAGCAGTTTTGAGGAATGCCTAAAACATATAACTATATTCTTTAATACATAATTTATATCTAGTCATCTTTTTTACCCCTTAAAATGAAGAGGGGATGAGGAAACATAACTCATTCCAATAACGATTTAATCATACTAAAGTATGATATGCATTTATGAAACAATGAAACAGTGTATTTAAAGTTTTCAATTAATTAATGACACTCTATAGGAAATCTAAAAATTCTTGTGCTTTCTCTGACACAATATGTATATAACAAAAAAGTTTTTTAAAATATTGCTATTTATCTAGTTCCTACTCTTTTATTTAGCCTAAATTGGGGAGGGGGCAAATTCTAACAGCAAGATCAAAATAAAAGAAAAAATAGCCAATACAATAATACATACTACTTTTCATATATTAATAGAATTAAATATCTGCACTAGTATGGAGGAGATGCCATGAGATACCCTGAGGTATTCTATAGAATATAAATCTAAATTTCTTTATTTTTCAAAACAATTACAAATAATAAGGTTTTTTTTCCTGACAATGTTATAATTAATTATGTAGATATGCAGTTTGAAAAAAAATTATGTAGATACGCAGTTTGAAAAAATCAACAATTGAAATGTCCTTTTCACTGTTTCTGACAATTACATCACAGTTGAGTTTGTGGGCCCTTATGCTAGATACATACCACAACTCCAAATTGCTCAGGCTCACAGAGGTCATCATATTCATTCCTCAGCTGTGCTAATTCACTGAGTACTTTCTGCTCAGGAAGATGTTTTACAAGGTTCTAAAAAGAAATAAAAGTATAAAAGTTTAATATTTTATTATTAGGACTATTAACCCTGCATTAACAACTCTAAAAGTGATTATCTAGGGTAGAAATTTCTGATTGCGATTCTGTTATACCACTAGTGTATACTCCCCTTCTCTCCCAAATAAATAACCAAAAAATGAACTACAATTTAATGTGAATAAATGTACAAATGCATTTGCTTTCCATGCACTGCGGTACATAAATGATAAATAAAAAGATCATATGGAAGTAAATGACACTGAAAAATTACTAACTTTCTGGGCCTTAAACTTATATAGCATAATTTTTAAGCTTTATTTTCTATCAGGAAGTCAATTCATTTGGAAAACATAGAATTAAATTATATGTAATAATAATAATAAAAGTCAACTCTAGTCTTCATAATTGGCAAAATTTGGAATAATCTTTAATCTATAAACCACACAAAGCCTGCAAAAAATCTCCCATTAATTACAATGTATTTAATGTACACAATGCATTCCCACTCTAATGGAGAACCAAGCGAAAGTAATGAAGTCTGATACATGTTCAAGTTTGATGCTGAATAGAATCAAAATTGATTAATTCTTCTCAACCTAGTTTATCTTGGACTATGATACAGTTTTAATTATCATTACATTAGCATGCAACCAACATCTTGGGGACATGTATGGGATTTCAAAAGACATATCAAAGGAAGAAAAGCAGGAAAAAGAGATTTAAAAAAGTAAGGTTGACACAAAATGGCAGAAAAGTACATTCCAGGGATTGGTCCCACCACGAAAGTAATCACTGAGCTAGAAAGAGTAAATAAACTACTTCAAAACACTGAAACCTAATGGGATACTTACAACAAAGGAAGTGCTTGTTGAAGGGAGACACTGCTGCTCTCTGGTAAGAGAACAACATGCACAAAATGGGTATCAAACCCCATTCCTCAGCACCACTGTGAAGAGGTGCTGGCGGATGCCAGGGTGGGCAGTGGGACTCATGTTATTTGAAATTTGAGGACGTGCATTTTGGTTTCCTGAAGGGCCGGTACAGTGCTTGCCTTGGTTTCAACCCTCTTAGGTTGCAGTAGCTTCCCAAGATGGCATCTATCAGAAGACTTAAATAGACAGAAACACCTCCCCCTGCTTTTTGGAACCAGACATTTAAGGAAATCTTTGTCAGATTACTGGCTGACAACAGAGATAATAAAACCCTAAATCCAGTAACCATACACAAGGAAAATACAGCTTGCAACAACTGTTGGGAAAAATTACAAACAAATAGCTACAGCTCTCAGCAAACAAAAATCAGCAGTCAGTGAGGAGTAGAAAAATCCAAATTCCAGAGTTAAAATAGACTCAAATGTCCAGTTCTCAAAAACAACAAAAAATCACAAGGCCTGCAAAAAACAAAACAAAACAACAAAAAACCCCAAACAAACAAACAAAAAAACAGGAAGGCATAAGCTACACAGGAAAAAAAAAAAAAAAGAATATGACAGAAACTATCCCTGAATAAACTCAGATTTTGGAATTAGTCAAAAACACTAAATCAACTATCTTAAATATGTTCAATGAGCTAAAGGAAACTATGAACAAATACATCAGTTCTGAGCAGGACCTGAAAGAAGTCCACACTGAGATACACTGAATCAAATTGCCAAGAAAGGGAGTGATTTTAAAACAGCAAGAGGAAGTGAATTGTCACATTTAAGGGATCCACAGTAAGACTGATATCTGATTTCTCCAATGTAAGCAAAAAGGTAGTGGGATAACATATTTAAAGTTCTGAAATTAAAAAAAAAAAAAAAAAAAAAAAACCTCTGAACCAAGAATTCTGTATCCACCAAACTAACCTCCTTTAAACAATGATGGAGAAAGTAGATATTCCCAAATTAACAACAACAACAACAAATATAATTTACTGCTAGCAAACCTGTTCTGTAAGAAATACTAAGAGGTCCTACAGACAGAAATAAAAGGACACTAAACAGTAATTCAAAGACATAAGAAATAATGAACAATTATAAAGGGAATTACATAGATAAATATAAAACCCGATGTTATTGTACTTTTGGTTTATAACTTTTTTTCTATGATTTACAAGGCAAATGAGTAACACAATAATTAAAAATCTATGTTAATGATCATACAATGTGCAATGATGCAGTCTGTGACAAAAATAATATAAAAAGGACAAATATGTATAGGAAGAGTGGATGTTATGAAAACTAAGTTTGTATTATTAAAAATGGGTTGTTATAAGTTTAAGATATTAATTATAATCCCTAAAGAAACTAATAAGAAAATAACTGAAAACACAGAAATAAAGATGGGAATCAAAATAGTAGGCTACCAAAAACAAATCAAATATAAAAATGGTAATAGAGAAATTAAGGAACAAAAACATGTAAGAGATACAGAAAACAGCTAACTGGAAGAACTAAGCCCTTCTTTAGGAATAATTACTTTAAATGTATATAAATTAAAATCTCCAATTAAAAGAAAGAGCTTGGAAGATTGGATTTAAAAACAAACATATTTATCTATACCCAGTCTACATAAGACTCAGCTTTAGATAAAAAGATGCAAAGAGGTTGAAAGCAAAAGAATGGAAAAACATATTCCATGTAAATAGTAACCACATATACACACACATACACAAAAACAAACTGTGGTGGCTATATTATTGTTAGACAAAATAAACTTGAAATAAAAAAAGTAACAAGAGACAAAGAAGGATATTCTATATTGATAAAATTTTCACTGCCATCAGGAAGATATAATTATAAGCAAATGCCCAACTGAAAGCAGAGCTCAAAAATATATGAAATAAAAATTGACAGAATTTAAGAGAGGAAAAGGCAGTTCTAAAATAATAGGTGGAAGGGCCCATGGCTGGCTCAGTCAGAAGAGCATGTGACTCTTGATCTTGGGGTTGTGAGTTCAAGTCCCATGTGGGGTGTAGAGATTACTTAAATAAATAAACTTAAAAAATAAAATAATAGGTGGAGTATTTTTTTAAGATTTTATTTATTTATCTGCGAGAGAGACAGAGAAAGGGAGAGGCATAGCAGAGGGAGAGGGACAAGCAGACTCTGCACTGAGTGTAGAGCCTGATGCAGGGCTTGATCACACAACCCTGAGAGATCATGTCCTGAGCCAAAACGAACAGTCGGACACTTAACCATCTAAGCCACCCAGGCGCCCCAATAGGTGGAGTATTTAATACTCCACTTTCAATAATGGATAGAATAAGAAAATGGAAGAATAACAAGAAAATAGAGAATTTGGACATCACTATAATCTGATTACCCCGAATATATTTATACAAAACATTCTTCCTAACAACAGCAGAATGTACATTCTTAAGTGCACATGGAACATTCTCCAAGATATATCACATATTAGACCAAAAAACAACCCCTAATAAATTTTAACTGACTGAAATCATGCAAAATATCATTTGTGATCACAATGGAAATGTCACTAGAAATAAATAACAAAGGAAAAGGAGAAAATTCACAAATATTCAGAAATAACACACTCTTTAAAAAGCAATGAGTCATAGAAGAAATTACAGGGGAAATTAGAATATACCTTGATATAATAAAAAAAAAAAATAAATAAATAAATAAATAAATAAATAAATAAATAAATAAATAAAAAGAAAATACCTTGATATGAATGAAAATGAAAACACAACATGCTAAAACTTACGGAATTCAGCAAAAGCAGTGCTAAGAAGAAAATTAAAGCAATAAACATCTACATTAAAAAAGAAGAAAGGTTTCAAATCAATAACCTAATTGTATATCTTAAAGAGCTAGAGGAAAATCATACTTAAACCAAAGCAAGAAGGAAATCTACAAATTAGAACAGAGGTAAAATGTAATTAATTAATTAGAGAACTGGAAAACCAATAGAGTAAAATCAATGATACTGGAAGTTGATTCCAAAATTGACAAATCTTTAGCTACAACAAAAAGAAGACTCTAATAACTAAAATCAGAAATGATAGTTGGGACATTATTACTGATTTTGTAGAAATTAAAAAAAGATTATAAGAGGATACTATGAATAATTGTACACTAGCAAATTGGATAACCTAGAAGAAATTGACAAATTCCTAGAAACACACAAACTACAAAAACTGAGTCCAGGGGGAAAAAAAAGAAAATCTGAGTAGACCTATAACAAGTAAGGAGATTGTGTAAGTAACCAAAAACCTCGCAACAAAGAAAAGCCCAGGACCTGAGAGATTCACTGATGAATTCCATCAAATATTTAAATAAAAATTAACACCATTCCTTTTCAAACTCTTCCAAAAAAATTAAGAGAAGGGAACACTTCCTAACTCATTCTACGAAGCCATCATTACCTTGATATCAAAACTGGTCTAAGACACAAGACAACTACTACCTCAGGCCAATATCCCTTAATAAAAACAAGTACACATTAAAAGATACAGTAGGCAACATATAGCATAAGTCCCATGGGAAATTACTGCATCATGTTCTGTACAACTGTACAAGTTATCTTTTGTTCTCTCTGCTTATATTTTCCCTCCTTCCAGTTAATTTTGCATTTCCATTAAACTCTAGGCCTGCAATGGCATCCATTGTGTAACTGATGAAACTAAATTTAAAATATATCATGCCCTTTCACTTAAAAGAAATATGAATATTGATATAACAACATGTACATATAACCAAATGAAATTAAGAACATCCATTATTTTGCCTCATTAATATAATCTTCTTTTATAAAATGAAAAGGCAAGTAAATACCAATTTATTATTTCCATTTCTCCAGAACAATTTTCAATACATGTAAATTACTCAATTGTTTTTTAAAAATTTTTCTGTTAATGGGATTTTTGGTAAAGTATGTTATGAAAAACAACGAATCAGTTTGGGTACTTCAATAATTGTGACTACAAGGCAACTAAACTAGAAAGATTAAGAACGGTATTAAAATTATTAAAAAATATCAATTCTGCAT